ACTATAAAAATGATATAACAGTTTTGCACAAAATCGACGGCCATATTGGACGCCATCTTGGATTTGGAAGAAGTATGAAAGAGAAATTTTGTGAGAATTAAATTTTTGAAAAGGGGAAACTATATGCATGCTTTTGGTGTGAGTTAAAGGTCTGTTCAAAAAATTGGAATGAATGAGCTAGAATGTACTCAAATTTATATGGCGGCCATTTTGAAAATGGCGGCCATCTTGAATGAGCAGATATATTTTTGGGCCCACTTCACTTCTGAAATCTACATGGTCTAAAGATGATTTCCTGAAAGTTTCATGCTTGTATCACAATTTGCACTATTTTCTCAATTTCCCGCCCCACTATAAGAAAAGCATAAAACTACGATTTTCGATTTATTTTTAAGTATATTTCTTAACTATCTTTGCATATTTTTCTGTTTAAAGCGCCCCAGTTTATTTAAGTAAGAAATTCTAATGTTATGTTTTTAGGCTTTTAAACCTCCCTTTAATGCCATGGATAAATTACCCGGTTCTTGTACCAAGGCACGTAGATGGTAGTACATGTACATGCGAACGTAGAACTGACAGAGAAGTTTATTCAATGATATATAATTAGTGTGATAATATAGAGAAAAACGTGGTTAAGCTTATCAGTTGTGTAGATTAGATAATCATTCATAATGTACATGAGCTTGAAACAGAAACATTTGTTGAGGTTTAAAGGTCCATAATGCCTCAAAAATGCATTTGTTTTTATTTCATTAAAGCTTTTTAATTTGTGTGTACCTTTATAGTTTAAACGAAATTATTGGCCAAGTATCTGAACCGTCTTTTTCATGTGTTTCTTTTTCAAGTAGAGTACAATTATAGTGAATTAGTATTCCGTATGGAAGTCATAATACAAGTGTGTTTACATTTTGCTACTTTTATGACAAACTTATTTACATGATTCGCTACTTTCTTCAGGTAACGCCATTTTAACATTTACAATATTCATATTTGTCCTTTCTAAAGAAGTAAATATTTGTTTTTGATGTATAATGTGCCTTTAAAAGTACATAGATCTGCTGTCAGGTGCATTTTATATATACATGTATGTAAATTCCCGTCCACAGTTGCATCAAAGTAAAACTTTCAGTTCAGCTGTAAGAAATTCCTATCAAAATTTAGGTTCTCGCCGGGCATTATAATGGAAGAACTCGTTTTTGATAGATGATTTTATTTATGCCTGAAACTATGACGCTAAGAAATTTGGTACATGTTTGATTCATTGTCTTATGGACCTTTGTCATGATGTGATTGTTGAGCTCAAGGTCACATTTGGTTTCAGCTGACTTAGAGCTTGACATAGTGACCATTTCGTGACAATAGCTATGACCTTAAATTGGTCATCGGAGGTTGATATCAGTTGATTCCGATTTATTTTTGACCATCTGTAACCTTTTTCTTTTTGTAATTTGTGATAAAGCTATGTAAAGTGGACCACATGCACTGTGTCAAGCGCACATTTCAAAACTGATTATCAGATGAGTGTGCCAGTTTTTGAATGATAATTGTTATTGCTGTTAATCTATTTAGAGACAAAATAGCGATCTTTGACCGTCAAGGCTCTCTATCTTATATTGTAACACGGTGTATGTTATATGTCGTTAAATGTCGCAATGTTAACGTTCAATGTCGCACGATTGTCCATTGCCGTTAAATAGCGCAATACTACCGTTTAATGTTGCAAGATGAATATTTATATGAAAATATAGTTTGCTAGTGCTATAAGATTACAATAAACATTGATTAAATGTTGGTATATATTTAGTAACTTAGGTACATAAGGAAATATCTTGATCCAAAATATACAATGAGCACATTTTCAAAAAAATATTTCCTAGTGTCCAAGTACTTGTCCCTTACCATTGTTGGTTCGAACAAGGGACAAGGGTTTTTCCATATGAGGAAGCTATACAGCTAGCTTACGGAACGTCTTTGGGTGTGCTCAGGTTCCTTTCGTGCACGGCGGGGCATCAGAATTCTTCCACTACTTGTAAAGCTTAAAAGTCGCTTGATGAGCTTACTGTGTTGGTGTTACGTTTTAATGCCTTAAAGCTAATTAGGTCTTTGCATGTCCTAATTAGAAGTTTTTAAAACTTATAGGGTGAAATAAAATTCTTATCAAATTTGCTCTTTTAAAAAAACTTATTTGAAGTAAGAAACCATAGTAATAGGTAACTTCGAGTATGTCATTCCTAATTAGGTCTTTATAACTTCTAATTTAAAGTTTTAAGTCCTTTTTAGACGACTGTAAACAGCTCCTAAAAAGAAGTAAGAAATCCCAAATTAGGCTTTTAAAACTCAATTTTTGAGTTTAATAGTTTTGTAAGAACATTAAGATTTTGCATACCAAAATGTTTTTGTAAAGATAGATTTTCGACCATGCGACCACATACATGCATGGAGGACAGGCTGTAAGGAAAGTGACCGTGCGACCACATACACGCGTCAAATGGTTCCCCATCTCTTATGTGAAAGGGACATAGAGTTGTCCGCCCTTTATTTAAGGGCAGACTTTAAAAATAAGCCTTATTCAAATAATAAGAAAGCTAATGTTCACAGATACGTCTTGAATTGGTTTATATATAACAATATTTACGCAAACAAACTGGGTATACGTTTACGTCCAATCAAATCCGCTATGATTTTTTTAAAAAGATCATATATTATTTCTTGGAAAATTTTGACTTTACAGTTTTTTCTACTTTTCATTTTATGTATATAGTAAAATTATTCAATTTTTGCAAAACATGAACGTATAAAGAACGTTTTATATGCATTGAATATGGCAGGTATGTTTCACACTTTGTTAGTAAATATTAACCTGGGGGCATTTTATTCATCCTACTTGTAATAGAAACGGTATTGTGACATTACGTATGCATTATATTTGTTATTGATTAATTAATTCATTCATTAATTAATTCATTAATTTTATTTATTTATTTAATATTTATTTATTTATTTATTTTTTTATTTATTTGAAAGTATGAGGGCTGTTAGTGTCTTACGTGCACTTAAAAGTCATATGGCAACTTTTCAGCTTTACTGATGTAGGAGACCTCTGGTGTCCCTCTATGCATTTTCATTTCAGACACGAGAGTACGACTGTTGTTCCTTAAGTTATCTGGGAAAGCTCCCTAAAAAACGAAAAAAAAATTAACCAAGTCATTCGAACCCACGACAATGAGGGGCAAGTAGTTCGAAGTCAATGGCCACGAATGCTAGTATCTATAATTATGAGTGTATTAACGCTTGTACAATAGTGCCTTGCTAATCCGAACCCTTCTAATCCTTTCTTATCCGAAACGAAGTGTCCGGTCCCGATTTATTCGTTCTATGTTCAATAGTAAAAAACCTACTCCGAATTCCGAACGATTTTTTACGTAAACAAAACGTATGGCTGGAAGGTAAATATAACATAATAATAATAATAATATAAGACGAATCATCAACAACATAACTTTAAATGCCGTAAAGCTTCTATTGACAAATTCTAAGATATAAATAGTTTACACCGCATTGTACGAAGATTCTTGCAATGCACGTCACCTTATGTTGAATACCGTAATGGTGGACCACATGGTGGACAATCGTGTAGTTCTTTCATAGTTTAAAAATCCAATCAGGAATGAAGGTCTTTCATCATGTTTTTTTTTAAGAACGCGTGGTTAAATAAAATCAAAATGAAGGATAAAACATCTTTGTCAAATATGATATTTTTTTATTTGACATCAGGTGTGAGCTGGTGTCGGCTTTATCGTATGATACAGACATTTGTAAAAAGTAATATCGGTGTCCTTTTGCAGATGTGGTTGACAGAAATGAAATTGTTTTGTGGTTGAGATAAATTTTGTAATTCTTATGTTTTTGGAGATAAATAAATAGTTGTTTTCTAAATTCAAACATTCATAGCAAAGCAAAATAGCATAGCGATTTTTTCTTCTTTCTTTTGTCTTACATTAATGGTATTTAAAATGGAAATAATCAGGCCTGAAATTATGTTGCTTTTGTTTCTCTGTTTAATATGGATATCTTTTCAAAAGAAGTAATGACTATTTTAGATAAGAAAAAGGACAGAAAGGTAACTCTATATGTACGGGTTAAAACAGATTCATCCCTGTCTTTTATTTGCTGAAAAACTATCGTTAACTGTTCCGATACAAAAAAAACAAACAGCCATCTAGACTCATTAATCAAAGTATCTTGTCAATGCAAACTCTTCTTTTTCCTGAAAATTCAACAGGATCACACTGCTGTCTGTTGATGGAACTGCGGTCAATATCCCTGAAAAAAGACATCATTTGCTTGTCCTATATTATACTGATGGCGTTAAATTATTGAGATTTTCTGGACCACACTTCCAGGTATATTTTTCTCGTTTGATTTCCCAAGCGTAAAGTGATGCATTACTTTTCAGATTACGAGATAAATCCACATTTACTATGTAATACGGATAGACAGAATAAAATTACGTAAATGTCTGGAAATCTGGGATAAAAGCGAAATATGTAAGGCGGAAAATAAGCACTATAGCTGTTATGTATAATATCCAGACCCTTCGTTAAATTTACAGTCCGTTTTCTAGGTCAGTCACGAGACAAATATCACTATATAATTATGTATATTAATCTGCATTTTGTTTTTGTATAAAGTAATTTTCAGAACGCCGCTCTTAATAAGTAACTTCACACAATGATGCGTTTGATATTAATATGGAAACTCAAGAGCATTTTTTGGCAGCTTTTCTTGACGGTCATATGTTGAATGCTATTCGTCCTCTATTTCACTTTCAAATAACACGATGTGGAAAAGTTATCGGCTTCTTGCTAAATAAACGGGTCAATAACTGATACATAATTAAGTTACAATTAGTTCTTTGCAGAACAGTACTGGAAATGCGTACGGTAGCTGTACATACTACCCCGCCGCCGTCCTACGTTTTATTAAAAAAGAACATGACACAACTCACAATTTTTTATTTTATGAATTGGTATATTTTGTGCCTTTCAAAGAAGAATATGCCACTTTGATATACAGATGCGTTTCATTGAATTGTTTCTAAATAACATATACATAATTCATTATTCTATTATTCATACATGACAAATAACATTTAAATTAACCCAATTTTAAAGCAATGACTGGCACAATTTGTAGTATGTTTCAATTATCAGCTCGAATGCTTAAGTAAAACAGCTTTAACTGAATACACTTTTGACTTACTTAAACGTAAATCATTCTTTAAATCTTGAACATTCTTATTTCAAAGTTGTATATTCTTTTCCGTGTTATCAAAGCATCTTTTAATCTTTTAGTCTAGATGTCATATGTTTTGGAAAATATTGACAATTTGCGACCACGATTAGGTTTTTTTTATATCATTTCATAAACTTATTACTTAATGACTGCAATGAATTGGGAAAAAATGTTTTGCACATGTATACAAAATGTGAAAGTTGTTGATAAGTAATCAATTTAAATTTATGCATAATGTAATGGATAAAATTCTTCTTCTTTTTCTGTCACTCAATAATATATAACACTGACGGAACAATTTTTTGTCAGTCAGGCTTCTGTAATAAAGCACTTGTCACCCGTGTCTATTTAAATTGAGTCCTCGTGGTTTTGATTTGGATATTAAATATTTGAATAAAATTCGAATAAAATTTCACCCAAACGTTTTCTATTCGTGTGTCAGTACTTTTTAACAATTGTATCATTTGTCTGTCAGTCTGTCTGTCTGTTTATCTGTCTGTCAGATACCATCAATGTCTGTACTATAATTTTATGTTCGACCCAGTGTTCGTTCAGCTGTCCTTTAAACCATACCCTGTGGGAGCTGAAAGTTTAAACCTTTGCTATGGCCAGTATAGAGTCAAGCCAAAACCTTTGCTATGGCCAGTGTAGAGTCAAGCCAACCAGCACACTTGTGCAGTTTACCCATGCTTTATGCTGTTGAGTGTTTTTTTGTGTACTCCCTTATAGCCAAGCAGATTATTCCAAATAAATCTGGGCAAATCCATATCATAAATTCAACAGCTGAAAGGTTAGATCAACCAATGAAACGCTTCTGTATAAGTATAAATAGACTAAACAACTCAATCACTTTAAGTTCATGGCAAATGTACATTTGTATTTTTGCTTTCGCCATTGTTTTCTTAGAGTCCAGGAAACACAATAACGATAACATTTTGCAGGCAATATTTAGCATGAATTATTATTATCATTAAAAGTTCATATATTATATAATAATAAAAAACAAATGTATATATTTATATATGTACGACTAGGTATTAACAATGTTTAGAACACGTTTAAAATTTTTGGTAAATGTAATATTATACACATAAGTTTTAACATTGTAGAAAAAAGGTATGTAAGAAACATGTATGGTTATATCTTAATTGACGCCACAATGAAAGGAATTATAATAGAAGTTATAATCACTTATTTCTGTAAATTAAAAATCACATGTTATCGTAAACTTTTCCGTCATACTCGAGTCATAATCCCATCGCAATGAAGTTTCAAATATATGAAATCAAAATTATGACGTAAACGGCAGTTAATGACGACAGGACAGAATTTACGGAATCTAACGAAAAATGCCGATTGTCAATATTCCAAAAATATTCATATTATTGTTCCATTTTGAGGCCATGTAAAGAGAGAAGTTAAAAGAAATTCTAAATAAAGTCCACAATTTTATTTTTGACGGGTTCCTTTATAAAAGCTCCCGTTTGTCTTTGGAATATTCAAACTATTAGATAAGGAGTTATTATCACTTAAAGATGTACTCTCAGAATTTCTGTTAGACCTTAAACTTGGTGTACGGCTTTTACTTCTTGCTTTTCTACACTTTGGACTTAAACTACTATCACAAAAGTCTCGATTTCCGCTCAAATCGTCAAATTCTAAACAATCACTTGGAGTGCATGGGCTCGAACTAAAATCCCCAGGCTCGATTTTACTAGTCGTGGAAGTTTCTTCATCGTAAGATGGGTTATATGTATATTTATATCCTTTCATATGTTCCCCAAACACGGTACCATCCAATAACTTTGGCGTTGAGCACTTAACTTTATTATTTTCTTCGCGTACTCCAGGAACAATATTTTGACTACTTGGCACAGAGCTATCCGATATATAAGGGTCGTTTAACGACCCATGGTAATGGCTTTGATCTTTTAAAGAACCATGGTAAATATTTTGATCTGGTTGTGAACCATGAACATACTGTTGATCCCTTTCATATTGTAAAAATTGATTCGTTTTATATGGAACTACTTCTGTGTGCGGATTACTACTATTACGTAACTCCATTTCCGTGTTAATAAATCTTGACAACATAAGTACGCGTTCATCATCCGAGCACCTTGAATCGCCATAATTAGATACGTCCTTAAAATTAGATGAGCTATTTCTAGGAAAATACAAAGTGGAATGATTCGAACGTCTTCCGGTGGAGCCATCAAGTTGATCACCTATGTATTCGTAATAATGTGACATGTCGGAAGAACTTCCGGTGATCGATCTGTGTCGATCAGACGCCCTACGGTGCGTCAGAGATTCGTGTGAAGGCACCCGCTTATCAAGGTTTTCCTTATCACGCCAATATATACGTTCGTAACCTTGACGGCTACGCCCACTTAAAGTACTTTGTCTGGAGATACTTCTTTGACACTGTGTACACATATCATCAAACTGGTAACCCTGTAAGGGTGTCTGTTGTATAGCTTTAATTAGACGCGCTTCTACACCATTTTCAGTTGAACGTGCCTGAAAACACACAAAAAAATTCTTAAATCAAACGGAATAGTAATTAAAATAGTGGTATACTTACTATTTCAACAATAATTTGTGCATACAACATCATGCAAATATGAAGGACGCCATTACCATTTCCAAAATGCGTTTGCACCACTTAATCATTATTTGCTCCAATCTTATTAATTTAGTCTTGTTTTTATTTCCTGTGTCTAAAACGCGTAATCAAATCCATATTTTACTCAATCTAGACTAGTTTTAATTCGCTTATCAAACATATCCATATAAAATCTACAATGAGCTCGAGTTAACAAAGTTCTGTCAAAATGTTAAAGTTGATGGTGTGAAATTAATTAATGTAATTTTTCATTCTCCTAGAGTCGTACACAGCTGTGCCTTGTGCAATATTGAATTCATGGAGGTGTACTCGTCCAGCAAAATTCAGTATTGTACACAACAATGTATAATAGCCCCATAATATTGCACGTGCAAAAGGTAAAATTTGTGTTTTGTCGCAATGGGCTTATTAATAATAATAATAATAATAAAACTAATTATAGTAATAAAAATAATAATAATGATAAATAATAATAATATTAATAATAATAATAAAAACAACAACAATAATAATAATAATAACAATACCAATAATAATAATTATAATAAAAACAACAATAACAACAACAATAATAATAATAATAGTAATAATAAAACAGCTATATAGATGATATTAATATTTACCTCAAATGGAAGCCCTCGTCGCTCTGGAATGTTGCCCGCTCTATAATAATATTGGCTTTGAACATAATATCTGTTAACTTGCGTGTTAATGGCAGTTTGGTCACTGTTAACTGTTTTAGTGCACGGGACTTCCGTGGTTTTGTCCACACGGCGGCTGAAAAAAAAAATGAAAGCATTACATAGTCATCAATTTTAAGCCAAGTGAGAAGGTATCATAACAGCATAATTTAAGAACAGTCATTTGAGTTCATATCAATTTTACACACTCAAGACTGAATAACTGTTATGCATATATATATGTGTAGATGAACTCCGCCAGACCGGAAAGGGCACTGACTTCCTGATATCATAATTGCTATGTGACATCATATTGGCTATATGTTCAAATACTGTTAAGAGCAAAACACGCCCGGCAAACTGTCGCTCCACTTCAAAATTGTGGTGTACGGTAAAACGAGCGAACGGCATTTCCGAGACCGAGCGGAAGGCCGATTTAAACGGATAATTGTAAGTGCTGTTTATGTTTTTGTCTTGTTATTCTTTTCAGTTGTATTTTTCGAAAAACGGAAAATGTAGTTCCGTGTAGGATTGATTTAGATTTCCAATGGTAAAGATGTTACAAAAAGAAAATTATATCAAGCCTGGGAGAACTTTTCTCCCTGACGAAGTGAACGACGATTTGTTAGATTTCAAACTTCAAACCATGAAAACGCTCTACACCTAGGATTTTTTGAAAAAGTGTTTAACAAAAATATCAACCCGTAACAAGAGCTAGTCTTTCGTGCAAAATAAACTACTCTTGGTGGATTTCTTAAATTTGTATTTCAATTTTTTTCGAAAGTAGTGGAGCCAAAGGGCAAGAGATGGAGCGAAAGGTCGGTTGTTGGGCGCAAGGCGACATTAAGTTGGTGTAAAGAGCATAGTCTACGAATTTCTATAAATAAAATCTTTCAAAGTTAAAATAGACGTACTAAAATGTGAAGCCGGAGAAATATGATAAGATATTAATTTATTTCTACTATAACTAGGTCTTTCAATTATTAATAATTTTAGTCCGTACACCGACTGAGCACTGCCTTTTTTATTACGTTCGTTTTGTTCATAGATACTCTGAATAAACGAACAAAATTTAACAGATATTTCTTTTAACTTTTTTTTTCTTTAATTAAGATTTGTACTAACAATATGCACTGTGTTTGATTATAAATGTGAACATTTCTATTTATACTTTGAGAGGAAAATGGTAATCTAAACAAAAATCTAAATAAAAAAAGATAGTATCTTGAAACACTTATATTACCCGCCCCCATCTATGAATTTATTTATCAATTCGAAACAAATTACTTTAACGTAATTAAATATTTAATTTCCCCTTATTCACTAGACAAGGGCATTCAGACTGCTCGTTAAGTGGTACATGTACATTTGCGAAGAAGTTCGGAACACTCAATAATTAATCTTAATCATCTTTGAGTAACGGAAATGGATCCCTAATCGAATAAATGTGACTAATGCTCTGTTTTGCTCATAAAGTGTCATGTATTTCTTATTTGCGACGTTATGTAAATGGCCTCCTATTATTTTCCCAGCGTTTAACAGCGTTTCAGAAAGAACGCGCGCGAGACAATGCTGAACCGGCCAGCGTAATTTACATTAATTATGATTGGCAGAAAGGCTTTAAGAGCGATCGATAACCCTAATGTCACGAGTTCAGACGCATTATATGTTTTCTTTCTTTCAATTATGATCCTTGAATTATATCGGATAAATAATTATCCCTTGTGAAATGGCGATCTCTTCCACAGATGCCAAATGCAGGCTTTCATTTTTTGCCGAAATATTCTCCAGTCATTACGGAAAATGACAATAGAAGGGATGGGAATATGCGAAATTCCCCAAAGCTTCTTTCCACGCAGTTGGAAACTTAAATAGCATGTCATGTAAATGAAGAGAGTATCTTTATAAATCAGATGCTAATTACGTTCTCATACTACAAATATAAAAACAAGCATTTTTCTTTTCTAATTTAGGCTGATTTAGCTGAGGTATACGAGTATATTTAATCAATTATAAAATTAATTATTTCTTTAAGCATTTATTCAGCTTTTTATATTGTCATAAACACCTTATCTATTTCATTTTAATTTAAACTAGATGAGGGAAGACGGTAATTTTTCCCCTTATTTCCTCTAATTTTAATGACCACAGAAGATTTCGTACAGAAAAATGTGCGCATCAGACAAAAATGGTATAACCTAAACCAGGGTCTTTCAAATAGATTCAAATTTAATTCTATTTGAAAGACCCTGCCTAACTTAATCTTGATTTTTTTTACATATTTTTATAACAAAAATGACTGATAAATCTGACAAAATCATTTTGTACCCTTTTTGCACAGACAATAAAAAAATTAAAGTATCAGATACACCCTTTTAGATCAAATGATCAAAATGTTAATAACACCTGATGCTTAATGATTCTAATAATAAATCCGTAATTTAGTAGGAATATCAATTTTCCTTTAATATTGTTGCCGCGTAATATTATCACAGGCAACACTCGACACCGGTCGGAAGATTGTAAATTTTCTATTTCCTCTTTAAAGGTGAATGTTGAAGGAATATAATATAACTATTGACATTGAAGCCACCACCATGTTCAAACTGCATTTTTTCTCGATGATTGGTAATTTAAAAGTAAAAGGGACGCTTTTTATTTCGAAATATCTCTTTTTTACAGCTAATTATCATATTGTTAAGAAATACGAAAAAGAAAAGAGAAACGTCGTATTTTACTACTTTTAATGTCTTTGAGGATATATTTCCAATAAAAAGGCACAAGTAGGACGAAAACCTTCTACAGTACATGCATAACACATTGAGACACGATAGTTGCTCTGATATCACAAAATATTCATAGCCAGCAGAATCGAGACTAAGTTACTTCCCTTTGACCAGTGCTGATTTCTCCAGTTAGCAGTCTAATATTTATTTTACTGTGCTTTTGCTTTGTTTGGTCACGTGCATGAAAAAGGTTTTCATGTTATGTAAAATGAACAGATAAATGATAAAATAGTGCAAGAATTATGTAAAAATATATTGGAAGTAGATAAAAATACACCACTATACTACACTAATAACTATTCTTAAGTCTTTAAAATAAATGTATGTATAAAACTCTTGTTGGAAATAGAGACCGTTGATTAATTTGCTTGTCTACCATCATGTCGAAAGTGTAATTGCTTTAAATTTCTGGACCAGACTTTAATGTATATATTTCTTATTTGATTTCCCATGTGGGCACTGGAACAATTCTTCGCGGATCACAAGAAAATTTCGTTTCCACTGAAGTTGGTGATGAATTCAATAAAATAAGTGTTATTAAGTATTATTGTTATACATTGCTTTATTTGTATACAGAAGCCAAAGAACTGGTATAATTGATTGATTGATTGACTGATTGATTGATTGATTGATTGATTGATTGATTGATTGACTGACTGATTGAAACGTGCACGCGTTTAGTGGCCACATCTATCATAATAATATTGATTTAACAGATGACAACAAAAATAACTAAAAAGTTCAATATTTTTTTTTTTACGAAAAAATAGGAAAGAATACATTTAGTTAATACATATATAAAATATCGTTTAATAGTAACACAATATTAATTACATTATTCTGAATTGATATTTCACTAGCTCAGAAAGCGATTTTCTAGCTTGACCTGGGATAGTTTGTTAGTAAAATCCTTATTTGTATATTTTTTCACGCACGGGCGATAACCCGAAAGTAGCAACTTTCCAGCTGTATCAAATAATAATTAGACACTAGATATTAGACAGTAGGTATTGCATTAAACACATATATCCATACACCTATCTCAGTATCTTATGAAAAAAACGACATTTCTAGCTTGCTTAATGCAATAAAATCGTTAACGACCATAATTATTATCATAATTAGAAATAAACTGATTTATGGATGCAGCCCTGAACGTCTAGTGAAATTTTTTTTAAAAATATGAACATACAAAAGGAAAAAATAAATGATTCTGTTTTACTATCATTTAAATATGTAATAAAGTTATTTTTAATCAAATGAATCATCGACAAATATATAACATATCTTACATCAGCCAGTTCTAAGCTATAACTTCATTTAGCAACATCATCAACAAAAATTATCTCCATTTTAAATAAGTGCTGGTGAACTTATTCCGTACGGCTTTTACATCCCTCTTCGATAACAGAATCATCCTAATCTCTGTTGTGTTTTTTTTGTCTTCGCGTTGAGAGAAAGTACAGGATCTAGCTTTTTTACATCTTAATCATGAAAATTCGGGGAACATAAGAAATACCCAATCAGACTTTTCGATGTCTGCGCTAGGTATCTGAGAAATCGTGTATGCTTTATTTACGAACGGTGTAATTTGATTATTTTGAATGATCAGCCAGACCCATGTCTGTAACGTCTTGTTTACGCGCATGTTTTCAAGCCTAATCTCTATATCAACTGGTGCTCAAAGCTACACACATTTATACTCATTGTTATTTAAACGTAAGTTTAAAAAAAAATGTTTGAAAAAAAATGTCATGTTGGTTTAAAGTGAATTGGTCTAAAATGTAAGCTCCAGGTCCGTTATACGTACCATGAATAATGATGTCTATGGTACATGTATTTAGTATTATACCGGACAACAAATCCCGGAAAAATTACATGTTGATAACTGTAAGATACATGACCAGATATTTAATATCTTTCTAGAACAGAATATTAGTCTGTATCACATAAAATGCTCATACTAAATCACTTCAAACTCTATCAGCATTTTACTTTTATGAAATTTTTCATACGATAAACTAAATTTTTATCAATGTTTAACATACTTATGGAGAATGTGCCCATTGTAGACCAATCCACTTTAAGCTAGCATAACACACATTTGATTCAAAATGAATTACATTCAATGTGTCGAAGTTTGGGAAAATAGACCCTATGAAAGGAAGAAATTAAGTTGTACGTAAAAATAAAATGACTTTTAAGTTAACAAATGATTCAATTTAATTTGCCTGACACTTTCCAATGATTTATCTAAACTTGTCAAAAAGTACGGGAAAAGAAACATTATGAAAAAATGGGGGGGGGATGTACTTGTCTACATATTAACAAATAATGTAATTTAGCATTAAACACTTATGATTCAAAATGAATAAAACGTTTCAAAATATAAAATGAATAACCTTCAGTTTTAATAACAAGATATATAGTTAGTGTATGTCGATTCAGTGTACAGAAAGTTTTTCATATAGTATTAATAAATACCGGAATATCGTTTTATGAGCAAAGAGCATTCATACATTTCTTTAAGTTTTATCTATTTTTTTTAATTACTTTTAATTTTTCATTCTTTTTTAAACATTAAATCGATCATTTTGTGAGCTTTGCAGCTTTAAAGCCTAACAAATAGTTTTGCTTGAGTTCAAGATACCGAACATGGACTTAAAGATTTATGGACTTATAGATTTAAGGACTTATAGATTTAAGGACACGGACGAATAGAACGCAAGTTTGAGTGTAAAAAAATGATAATGGGAACTGCAAGTTCATACCGAAGAAAAATTTATCATTATGTCTAACTAGAGTCAGAATTTTAAAACGCTGAAGATTCGCGTATTGCGGAAATGGTAATGCGTAGTGCGGAAATGGTACATGTATTGCGTAGAGCGGAAATGGTGATGCTTAGATAAAACTTTACTTTTTATAGTAGAATTATGGTGCTTAGAAATGTTCCGTGTTAAGCATTTTTGACGTTTACATCTTCACCATGTTTTAACATTTCACTTAAGAAGCGAATAATTGGAATTGTGTTAAGTATTAATTACATTTTAAGACATAAAAAAGCGTACTAGGGAGATTTAAACTCTAAAAAACTGACAGAATTTACTTATAATGAAGAGCGTTAATGTAGTTATTCTTACCTACTTATATTTACAGTCTTTCGAGACTTGTTTCAATTATTGTTTTCAAGTATTCTTGTCAATACAAAAATCAGGCCAAGGTTGTTAAACTTAATTACCAGAAAAGTACTTTAAGTTCTGACTAGACCTTGGTAAATACGAAGAAAACATTTTCCATTCTTATTATATCCCCGCAATTTTACAGACGTAAGAATAGCATATTAAGTCCGAAGGAGATACCGACTTTAAGTCTGTTAATTATCTTCACTGCCCTTTGTCATCATTTATAAGCATTTTTACACCATTTCGACAAACAAGACGGGGAAAAACTTGCGAACCTGTCATCGTTTTGACACGTTCGCGCCTACTTATTTTCGTAGCAGACGACAAATATAGGAAAATACTTACACGTAACGACAGCAGACGATCACTAGCAAGAAGACAAACATGAGACAGATGCAGGCGAGAATGATGGCTATCACACATTGAGTCCCACATAATCCGAACACAGTGAATAATTCATCACAGTCACTTAAACTCTCCGCTGATAATTCCACAGATGTCAAATCCACTTTACACCGGGACGCCACGCGACGCAACGCTTTGCAACCGTCACGTGCTCCTAACCGTCCCGACCAATCTAATTCTATTAATAGCCTTGCTTTGTTGGGAGTACCAGGAGGCGGGCATGGGAACCTGTCCCATAAAACCCACGGGTCCCGGATGTATTCCGGGGCATTACGCCACCTGTCGCATTTTTGGCATCGAGGGCACGTGTCGGCGTCTGTAACATCCCTCATTTTTTGTTAGCGGTCTGAAAGCATAAAGAGAAATCTTTTTAATTGAAAATGATGATTCGGAGGTCCTTTGACATAGCATTCACAAGTCTATTAAAATGATAAAATCATTAGAAAATCGAAATTTTCGTTTTAAACTTCTGGTTCAAAACACTAGAAACAAAAGAGAACACCCACACCATTCTATTTTACAAAAATACAGACTGATAATGTCGTAAAAGTAAAGTTGTGTTCAAAGTTCGCTCAAGCTTCTTAAATACTTCATGCCCATTAATGAAATAAAAAGCTTGGTCGCCTACGTGCATAATAGCCTCTTTTACCGATCAATGCTCCGTAGTTTCTCTTAGGGATACAGAGAGAGAGAGGGGAAAATCCTCATTCATCATTTAAAGCTTCGACTTAATCAAAAATTCATTTATTTTAAATTACGATAAATGTGCCGATAAATCCAATTTTACTAATTGCATTGAAAACATTCCTAGCAAAGCGCTTCGACGAGGTAGCTCCTATTGTTTTAACGCGTTTCCTATCTTTTGTTACTATTTCCGGAAGTTGCTTATCTTCTGTGTAAATCTAAAGGCATTGAAATTGCTATCGCACCGGCGTTTGCAAAATCTTTATTGACTTGTAGTTAAAATAAAGCGCCGCAGAGGCAGGATCTTTTATCAAAGACTCCAGGGTCATTATCAACGTTTATTGAATAAAAACAAAGTCAATCAAGAAAAACCTGTGGTTCATTTCACTGATAAAATTGAACTAATTAATTCCCCCGGTTGCTATGGTGTAACTCCACACCGATTTCTCGGTAACAGATGCGGATTGATAAACATTATACATATGGAACTAAAACTACATCGATCGGCGATTCCTCGCGTAAATAAATTCCTGCAACATCATAAAAAATAAATTTCGGGGAGAAATGTTGCTTGTATATTATACTCTTGATAATTGTCGATGAAAGACAGAAGGCCTTCAACCGTTGTAATGAAAATTGAATTATTAATAAAACATGGCATATAGCTAGCTTCGTTAATCGGGATAGTTCTGCTATCATGGTGGCATATCGCGGACGGGAGTAGCCCACATATTAAATTTTTAAAACAAATAAAGTGTTCACATAACATACTCAAAGCGTTTTTCTTCTAAAACCAACGACTGACTCCATTTCTAATGATTACGAATCAGAATCAGCATCAATATTAAGATTAAGGATTACGATCAGGATCAGCATCAATATTAAGATCAATATAAATCAACATAAAATTTTCAAAATTTTCCTCTCCATTTATGGAAATTATTTTAATATTTAATGAAAACTTTAACATAAGCATGAAGTAAAATATGATTGTAAAACTGTAGAAAAGTTAAATGAATAGTTTTTTTAAGAACACAGCAATTCATTCAAAGGCTAAATCCAAATTTTTATCTCGGTTAGCTAATACTAGTATCAGAAATGATATTGCTGATGAACCTTAATGTTGATATTTTTTACTTTTGATATTAATATTTGTCATATTACTTCTATTATGCAACATGGCTATAATTGCAGGATTACGTTCGTTAAGAAATAAAAAACAGAAAAGTTACATATGAGTTAAATCAGACAGTGTAATTAAAGTGTAAAATTTCTATTTTATCAGGTGTGTATGGAAAAAAATATACGCTTAAGGACTCTTGCATTTACAAAAAAAAGAAGGAAAAAAAACACACCAAAAAAACATGTCAGTTTATTTTTCAGAGCATCCATTCTAATCTTTCATCAAATGTAAAAATCACGCACACTCCTTTCTGAACACATCTACCGTTACTGACAAGAAAAATCAAAGTCCTATCAATTATTCTGAACATTTTACCATGAAATATTGCCTTCTAAAATTCCAAGAACATATGGCAGTTGCATTTGTACGGCGGCAATAAAAGCGGTTATAAACCACAATTTCACTCCTCTAATCCAAGAAGAAAACTCATAAATTACCTATAATATTTCACCTTGTCATTATTTAAAATGCCTTATGATAAATTATTCACCGTCTGCCCATTTACTTACACTACTGAGGAAGATTCAGTCTCTTTATTGATGCAGAAGTTGCATGCCGAGATACTTCAAAGCTTCTACTTACAGGGTAATAGAATAATAACGGATCGATAGCTCTTACATCATGTAATATACACCGGGGAGTATCCGTATATATACGCTCTATATAATGCCATGAGAAAAATTAGATGACAGTTTGGAGGGGATTTTGTCACAATATCTGTGCTAGGTGACACGTGCATATCACGTGCATGTCACGGATGCTTAATTGAATATCAGTAACGATCAGGACATAGCCCGTCTTGCTGTCGATCACAGGTGGTTACTGAAAGGAAAGTTTCTATACATTTAGATTTCAAGATTTCTTATCGGATCATAAAAGCTGTTACGACATATTGAATATTCCATTTGCACCTCGTCAAAGCGTGTATTTGCCGTAACGTATGGGAGAGATACGATATTTTCATTACAGACAAAAAAAACAAGTTGTCACATATGCTTGAAACTAACTTTCTTTTCTAGATTTATAGGTGAACCACTATTCTGAGTGGGGTTATAAGTACAAAATATTTAGACGCCGGAAGCATATTAAAATCATTCCGTGATAAAAACAAAATACATCGCTTCGTTATCTGTGTTTCACCGATGAAATTGGGTAATCAAAATTTCATGCAGAATTCATCATCATTTATTACCGTGCATTGTGCACGTGCATCAACAATTAAAACTAATGGGTGTTAATGATTATTCATTAATCATGGCTGAATAGAATTATGACGGACAAAAACGGCTATGTAGAAAGATTGGCGCAATTGCAATGCAAGCATCAACAATAATTAACAGTAGGAGCAACCCCCTTGACATCGATGAATAAATGATGATCATTTTGAATGAAATAAGGCTTGCAAACAATTAAAAAAGAAAATATGATACTTTGGTAATTTTACGAGGCAGGAGTATGATTAAATACTTTAGTATTCCCTATTCTAGATATAATTATGTAAATGCTCAAATTGAGAGAGGCATAGGAATACTTCAACATATCAATATTAGAAATTTCTATTTCTTTTCCTATTATTTTAATAAAAAAAAATCAAATTATTTCAAAATACGAGTTTCAAAGAAAATTATATGAAATATAAAATTCATTGGTTGTTAGAAGTTTTCTTTGAAACTCAAACCGTGATTTCACTATATGATGAAGTAATCTGGTATTATTAGAATTTAATCGGTTATTGATTCTAGGGGGAATATAATCTGGTTATATTTATTTCTAAATTTAGACTGATAATTTAACTTCAGCATGAGATTAGAGGTATCATATTAATGGGGATGTTATGTCACATTTTATGTGCCTGGAAATGTGTTTCCAAAACTTCAGGGATATTATTAAGTGAATCACAGCGTAATAGATAATCGTTTAAAAATTAAATTTACTTTTGAGCACAGTGGATATGAAAACGGTAAATCGCATGGATTTGACATACACACACAAATCTGAGTTTTATGATATTTTAACTCGACAAAATATTATAAAACCATTCTATAATTCACGTTGGTGGTGTAGGTAGTTTTCACTCCGGATCACTGCAGTAAGCTACAGTTAATTTACCAGAGCATAGTTCAGCACCGCATCGTTCCTGGGTAGGCTGTCAAGCAGTACTAGTTGCCTTGACTTTTGCAAAGAACTAATTACATGAGCAGACGTACAGTGCGAATGTAGAGAGAATTATCAATCACAACGAAAGTGTACTGCACCGTCCGTGAATCGAACCCGGATCATCCGATTCACAGTCCAACGCCCTAACTATTGAGCTAACCGTACTTTACTTCCATAATTCATCCTTAGATTTAATGTTTATACATACAGTAGAAGACATACCTAGTAGTGACAGTAACACTTCCGCTGGTAGCCAATAAAGCAGCATGTTTACCACCATGGGTATTACGTAATTTGTACAATTAGCAGAAGTTAACATGTTTAAATGTCGCAATGCACACTGTTTTATTGGCTATAAAGCAAGAGATAGGCTCTCATATATCTTCAGTAAGTTTGTCTTCAGCTCGCCTTTTCATTAAAACAGATTTTCGATAAGATATCTTAAGGTTAAATCACATTATAGCCAACTTAATTACCCATCCATCGATCAGTATACTTTCATTATTGAACATCATCAGTCTAATCTTTAAATCAATCTTGTTTTCTTACAGATTCATCCATGTTTTAACAACACGGTTCTAATATAACAACAATAGCAACACCGACACATAACATTATATTGTACCACGCCATATGAAAGAAATTATGAAAATACATTTTGAAACTAATTTTTTAAAGACACATTACGTCCCAGAAATGCTTTTATTTCTATTTCTCAAAAGCTGTTTATCTTACTATATATAGGTGTCCAGCTATAGTTTACAAAACTTTACATATTGTAATTAGTGCAGATACAGTGATGGAAGTCAAAATACTACTTCCTTTACATTTTGCTATTATACTGACAGATAATTTCACATTCAGCTCTTCTTTCTTCGAAAGGTAAGTATCAGAAAAGCTGTAAAATCATAGTGTGCCTTTAAATGGTGAAAATCGATTCAAATAAAGTGTCTTATGGTACGCTTTTCAGTTTTGATGAGCATTTTCTTCAATTTTAAAGGCAATCAAAAGTGAGACATCACATTTGTGAGTAACTTAATAAATGAATATAAAACTGAACAATTATACGATAAATAAAGAATCTTTCACCAATGAAAGAAAACATTTACAGATATTTGTTTTTAAGAAAAGGTATTGTCAAATGTATCAAAATAGTAACTTGTCAAATGTATCAAAATTGTAAATTACTTTTACATCTAAATTTTCACATGATTATGTATGTAATTAAATAGTGAAAATGTCAAATTTGCACGAAAAGTGCACTTTTAAACTGACATTTATATAACTGATAATTATGTATGATTATTTACAAAATTAACTTC